GATTTCATGTCTGTAGCTGACACCCCACCCCCCACCCCCGCGGGTGCGAGTTGTAAGGATTTTTTGCAAAATTTATGGGTTTTTAGGGCTCTTTATACAGGTAAACTACTTTTATTCCTGATTTAAACTAGCGATGAGCAGCTGCAGCTGTATGCTTTTATTTTTTTCTGTCAGGCTGTCGGAGCGCTCCTCCTCCTCTGTCCGAGGCTGGTGTGGTGTGAAAATCCTCCACCTCAGACGTTCAGAGATGTAACTGTCTGTGATACTGTGGTCACTCTCCATGTAGCATCAATTATGCTAATGCTAGCTGTCATGTTCTCTCGTCCTGGCCACACCTCCACTCTCTAAGCCCCCCTTCCCCACCCACACGCACTCCCCTACCCACTTTGTGCATTTTTCAAATTTCGCCTTGGGGCGGAGTTATCTTTTCACAGGGGGGTAAGTTACACTTTAAGACTTTTCCACGTTATGTTATTTTCATTATTTTAAAAATCTTTTTCTCATTTAATAAATATCAGTAATATTTCTGATGTTAATCATAATTCTCTGTTCATCATTCTGGTTTAGCCAAGGCCAAAGATCCTGAAGGCCAAACTACAGGAGTTGTCCATCTGAAGGGCAGGTGTAGTCTAAAAGACAAAACCATGAAATGTTTAAGATGTTTATAAAATGTTCAACCCATAAACATTTGCACTTAGAATTTCTTTCATTTCATTGATCTTGATGTTTAAGTTAAAATTTCAGGTCATAGAATCACTTTAAAATTACTTTTCAGTAAGTTATTAAAAGTTATTTGTGAGTTAATATTGCCTTAATGGACAATGATTTTTAAAAAGTGAACCATTTAAACATCAATGGTAAATGTGATGTGTTTGCAAATTTGGGTGCACCTAACTTTTGTACTGGCGCACCTAAGGAAAAATGTTAGGCGCACTGGTGCAACCAGTGCAAAAAGTTAGTCTAGAGCCCTGTATCATATACAAACCTTGTCTCTCCTGTAACCACACAAACCAAATCTCTGTTTGTCTCTGGYATCTAACAGATACAGTATGTGCAGTGCTGAGGCTCAAGCTGTCATTCCTCAGTAGAACAAAACCTGTCAATTAACAGGGGAGCTGCGAGTGAGGGTGGCCAGGAGGGGCCCTTCCACTTTTATCCTCTTGGGTTCCAAGCTTTTGTTCTACGGTGTTAAAAATAAAAATGTAGATGTACTCCCAGAGTGGGGCCAGGCCTTTTTTTGTTAACCGCAGAGAAATAACACATTCAACATTTTTTATCAGAGATAAAAATAAGACGTGGATGTCAGGTGCATGTCCATGAGAAGCTCTTTGAAGCTGCTCATCTTGTTAATTTGACAGCGAGCTACTGCTGTTAGATTGGAACAGACTTTTTCAGCACCACGGAACTTGCGCTGCTGCAGCCTTTGCTCTGCAGCCACAAACTCACCCACAGGGTGCAAGGACTGAAAAATTCTGGTCTGTTTGAAATTAAGGACAGTATTTTATACAAGGATCAGATTTTTAAGTCTCTTTAAGCTTGATGGGTTTGCATTAAACCCGCATAAATACGTTAATTAAAGTATTTCAGGTTTACTTCAGGCTTGTCTCTCTAATCAAAATTAATTACCGTATTTTTTGGACTATAAGCCGCACCGGACTATAAGCCGCACCCCCAACATAAAAAAAAAAATACACCCAAATTTGCCGTCAAAAAAGTGAATTCAACATCAAAACATAAAAAGCAAACCTTTAAGAATTAAAGTTTGGAGGAATACGGTTCATTTAACTGACCTTATTTTGGTAGTTTTCTTTAACAGTTTCTGGTCCAACAAAACGTCTCATTCATCGTCCTCCGGTGCACTGAAAACATCGAAGTCCTCCTCTTCAGTGTCGGAGTTAAACAAGCTGAGAAAAGCTGCGTCACACAGCGGTATCTGTTCAGTGTTGCTTTCTGTGTCGCTGTCCTCCCGGGGTAATGCTGGCTCTGAAGCTGTGGTGGGAAAGCCCTCCCGCTCCAGCATTCGTCACTGCATGGGATTCCTTCCCGGGGGAGTGCAATGAGGAAAAAAAAAGTCCGCGGCTCTTCACTCGACGTTTATCCACAAACTGGTCCTGGATTAAGCTCCAAGGTTTTTATCAGTCAGATTCCACAGAGAAAAATGTCTGTTTTATCCCCTTTTATGAGTTTTTGGCCATTGACTATCTTTAAATCACTGCTTCCTGGTACAACAGTCGGCTCTGGAAGCGATGGCTTTTTTCTTTTTTTCCTTTCTTTTTTTGAAGCGAGTGGTTGAAGCAAATAGAGCATAAGAGCCCCCTGGTGGCTGAAGAAAAAAATCCATGTATAAGCCGCACCGGTCTATAAGCCGCATGGTTCAAAGTTCAGGAAAAAAGTCGCGGCTTATWGTCCGAAAAATATGGTAGTTGGGTTGAATCGGGTTTGGTCTTTGGGCAAAGTCTGGGTTTTTTAGGCCCCCTCTAAAYTCTACTTTCCCATGTGATGGGTCAAATGCAGAGATCAAAGCTCATCATTGTATGGGAACAAGCATTGATGACAAAGTACATCAAAGAAAATATCAACTAACAGGGACAGAAATGTCCCACCCAACTGACCACAGATCATTTCTCATTTCCCTCTGGGATCAATAAAGTATTTTTGAATTAAATAGATTTTTGAATATGAAGCAACAAAATGTTCAACAAAAATTTCACCAGCCTTAGCCTGGTTCTGAACCCTGAACCAGTCCTGAAAGTCTGACACACATTAAGGATAGAAGGACTCACTTCGATGACGGTCCACTGCTCCACCACGATGGTGTCGTTCGCAGGTGTGGCAGTGCTTCTCTCCTCGTAAACAAACAATCCCTCCAGTGATCTCGGCACTGGCTCGCCTAAAACACACAAACACTAACTGGTCAAGGTTTTGGCAAAAACCCTCAGAAAATAAATTTTATCAATATATATTTTTTTATATTATTTAATGTTATTTACCCCATCTAACTTTGAAGGTCTATATTATTGCTTAAAGTCAAATTAAAAATTGTACCATCTCCAGGGGCCCCATGTACGGTGCGTACGCACAAAAAAGTTGCGTGCGCCAGGTTCTACGCCCACGTTGGGATGTATAAAACCAACGTTGCGTTTTCACCTGCCGTGAGAATGTGCGGCAGCCACGCAAAGTTTTTCAGTTGACAGTTTTAACCCACAAAGTCATGAATCTGACCTGAATCCACAGAAATATGACTCTGTTGTGTTTTCTGGATGTAAGGAGTGTCTAAACACGGTGTTAGACTTTTATTTTAGTTTGAGTTTTTATTGTTTAAACTCGAACGATCATGAAACTGAACTCAGGGACTAAAAATCATTTAACCTCAGACAAGAAAATAGATCAACCTAAAAATGATCAAAGAACCTCAGTCCAGTCTGTAAAGTGTAAACTGTTTATATTGTTGTCACGTAGTTGGAAACACACGCAGAGCGCAGGCCTGCAGAGCGCACACACAGCTGAGGAAAATAAAACGTGTGTGAATTTTCTAAGAAACATTTTTAATTTTAACTGAGAAAAAAACATTGTCAACTCAGCATTTTAATTCAGAACAGCTCAGCTGTGATGATTCCTCAGCTCCACAAGACGCAGTATTTATTGCTGCATAAAGTTGTGCGTATGGATCRATGTCAGCTGTTCCCAGTCCCACACCRCGGCAGAAAATGTGAATACAGTGATAAAGCTCCTAAATGTTCACACTGAAAAGATGGTTTTGTCTTTATATAATTTTGTATAAAAGAATGCTTTTCTGTGCACAGCACAAAATAAATTAAAACAGCAATTTTTCTTTTGCCAATCTGACATATTTGTCTTTAAGTTATCTTATTTCATTTAGAGGGATTATATTTTAAATATTTTAGCATATAAAGTTTTTCAATACAACTTATTTAAGTCCCTTTGCTGTTATCCTGCAACTTGATCGATTTAATAAAGTTTTAAATGTTCTTCTAAGCAAGATTATGTATTGATAAAGACAGTTATCATATTTATGTTAGAAGCTTTTGTGTGGAAGAACAGAAAGTAGGGTCCTCGCTAATACTGGACTATTAATACTGTCTTCTGTAAATAAATAAAAGTTTTTTTTGTCTTTTGTTACTCAGAAACTTCTGTTTGCCTGAATTCAAAAGCAGATCATCAAGCCTAAACAGAACTGCTTAAACAAGAAACTACAGGAAATAGTAATCRGGTTTTCCTGTAGTTTACAGCAGATTTACAGCTGAACTGTTTTAGGTTTTTCACCAGTTTATTACCAAAGTTGATATGTGACATGGTTGAGATGCGGGAAGTCTTTTTCTTCTCCCATTCTTTAAAGATTTCTACACACAAAAATGAGCTTCTTCCTGTTTTGTCTTCTYTTTTTCCCACTGGATCTATATTTGGAGCTTTTTCCCAACCTCACCAACCTCATTTCCTGTCTCTCTGCTGAGCAGCTGACACTCACATCATATAACAGATCCAGACACTGCTGTTTTAAGCACACACACACACACACACACACACACACACACACACACACACACACACNACACACACACACACACACACACACACACACACACACACACACACACACACACACACACTTGTTTTTATAACCCCGTGGGGACCGTGGATTGACTTCCATTCATTAGTTGGTAATTTTATATCCTAACCCTGACTATTTACCCTAAAATTAATCTCACAGGTACCTACCTGACCCTAAAACTAACCTAAACTCAATTCACACCTTGATCCTAAACCCAACCCCTCACCCACAAATGGTATCTCTGCCAATGGAGACCGGGTTTTTGTCCCCATTAGGAACAGTGGGTCCCCATCAGGGTGTGTGTATTAGGAAAATGGCCAAAAATCATCCCCACCCGGAAAAAAAAACATGTACTCACACCCACAATCTGGTACAGCTATCTTTATGGGGACCTGGCATTGACTTCCATTATTTTCTACAGCCTAACCCTGACCACAAACCCTAATCTGCTAGTTTGCTCAGGATGGGAGACTGTGATGAAGTGATTCAACACAATCTGCTGGCTTCTTCTTTAAATTGTTGTTCTTTCATGGACAGTGCCCTGAGACAACGTATGTTGTGACTTGACGCTATAAATAAACTGAATTGAATTGAATTGAATTAACCCTAACCTCACAGGTACCTGACCCTAAAACTAACCTAAACTCAATTCACACCTTGGTCCTAAACCYAACCCCCGACYCACCAATGGCATTTCCCGTTATGGGGACTAGACTCAGGTCCCCATAAATAGGTGTATATGCCAAAAATCCTGTCCACAATGTAGAGAATACCAGTCCACACGCACGCACGCACGCACACACACACACACACACACACACCTCTCTCTCCCTTTTGGACTGGTTTAGAATTGTGTTTCTGACCAGTGTCTAGTTGACATAATGTAATTGATACTGCCTAACCCTGAACATATGCACTAAGGTTAACCTCACAGWTACTTGCCTCATATTAACCTTAACTAGGGGTCAGGGGTTAAGGTTAGCCCTTAGGTATGAATTGAGTTTATGTTAGGGCTAGGGATGGGTACCTTTGACATTTGAATCGATTAGGTACCAATATCCGGTATCTGGGAATCGGTACCGGTACTTAATGGTACCAATTTTCGGTACTTTGTGTGTCTTGTTGTTTTAATAATAAACTATTTTTTAAACATATTTCTCAATATATAAAATTTAACAAATATCAAGACAACATCCAACTCTTTATAATGTAACATCAGTTGTTTAACTTATTTCTTTAAAGTGAAAACTCTTGAAAACAACAAGACTGTTTCGTCTTATTGCACAGATTAAAATCCAGCTCCATGTATTTCTATTGATGTCATTTCCCCACTAGAAAAAATGTGTGATGGAGGTCAATGGAAAGCAAATAAGTTTAAATCAAATAAGCAAAAGAGGATAGAGTTAAAATAAATAAACGGTATTCAAGTTACGTTTTGAGCATCCAAAACGCACCCAATGCTTTAAAGCTAGCTGCTTGTTCTCTTTCAGGTCAGACGCGTTCGGACTGTCAGGAAGCCTCTCTGTTGTTTTCCTCTGCCGGTCTCTGTTTAATGGTGGATGAARTAAAGAAAATGGCGGTACTTTATTTACCAGATAATTCAGAGGCGGTCTGTTCAGTTAGTTTCACTCCAGGAGCTGCTAGCGGCGAGGCTCACTTTCATGCTACGCCGAACTCTACTGAACCAGCGGCTGCTGACGTCATTATGCTCTTGCGCGATGCTGCGTTCAGGACAAGCATGGAAAACTCACCACTCTTACGCCAATACGGTCGCAATGCTGCGTTCAGGACAAGCATGGAAAACTCACCACTCTTACGCCAATACGGTCGCAATGATGCGTTTAGGTACCGAAACTGGTACCATTTGATGTTACGTGAATACATACTCGGTAGTACCGACAGAATTCTGTCTGTACTTAAAAAAGTATCGAATTTGGTACCTATCCATAATAAGGGTTTGCTCTTGTGAATTTAAATTAGTGATGGTTTTGTGAGTTGTTTCTGATAGGGTTTAATGGTTCTAAGCTTATTTTCAGATCTTAGAGCTGATCCTGAACTTGAGACTGGACTGTAGATCAGATGAGAACTGTTAGTTACTGACCTGGGTAAAAAAATTCACCCAGTTTTAAGAGACAAATTCTATGTTTTCATCCCAAACTGCTACACCAACCTTTAGGCGTATCCCAGTATACAAAGGAGTCAACCAGAGACCAGCCTTTGCGATAGTAGWTGGCAGTCAGCTCCAGCCAATCAGCTTCCAGTGCGCTGACCACATGGCCTTTTCTGGAAACTCGCATGGAGAGTGCCCCCTGGTGGTACTGACAGGCCAGTGAGTCCAGAGGAGCACAACCCGGAGCCCAGGAGTGGAAGAAAACCAGAAGTCTCAAGTCTAGATGTGACAGTAGAAATAAGAATTTAATGTTAACTTGTATCGTTCCTGATCACCTGCTCTGAGGTTAACTTCAACCAATCAGAACACAGACAGCCTCTCACCAGGACTGTAGGTGTTGTCTTCTAACTCTCTGTCTCCACAAGATGTTTGGAGGGGTGTGTGTGGAGGGGATCGACAGCTCCTCTTTGGACTATGCACTCGACCATTGGTGATGCTGCTGATCTGCTGGAGGACAGAGCCAACAAATCGGACGCCSCCCCGTGCACTGCTGTTCACCTGCAGGGGACAAACCTGAAGTTTGGGTAAAGCTTAACAGATTTTTATGATTATTTAGTGTTCCTTMAATCACAAGGAAATAAAAGTTTTTTTCGAAGACATCAGTCTAAATAATCTGGTGTGAAGGTGTCTGACCCTGTCGATGAGCGCCCACACCGTGTCGCTCGTCAGCGAGTCYCCAGGTAAAGGCCACTCCTCCACCCTTAGAACTGGTACGCTCATAGACTCTGTATGATTGCTGCAAGCATACAAACACAGACAACTGTTAGATTTTAGTAAAATTCATTTAGCAGAATCTGTTTTGATGTGGAGCTCYTAGGTCGGTCATTAAACTGAACAACCTAGTAGCAGGTTCAAAATGCAGCCGTCACAGAAARAGCTGTTGAATTGGCTAGACAGGAAAATAGCTCTGTTTCCCAATACATACAGCTAACACAAGTCAAACCAAAGCATCTTTGCCCCCTCCTCCTCAGTATTAAATATGCAGCTGACCTCAGATAAGACTGAGGTTATGGTTTTTGGACCTGAACATCTTAGGGATCAACTTTGCAGCCTTTCACCTCCTCTGGATGGCATTAATCTGGCCTCCAGTTCTAATGTAAAGAARCTTGGTGTTATTTTTGATCAGGACATGTCTTTTAACCCCCACATTAAAAATGTTMTCAGGACCAACTTCTTCCACCTGCGTAATATCACTAAAGTTAGAAATATTTTGTCCAACAATCATGCAGAAAAACTGATTCATGCGTTTATCATGTCTAGGCTGGATTACTGTAATTCTTTATTATCTGGGCTCCAAAAAAATAACTCTTTAAGAAGTCTTCAGTTAATCCAAAATGCTGCTGCTAGAGTTTTAMTGAGAGTTGGAAGGAGAGATCATATTTCTCCAGTTTTAGCTTCTCTCCACTGGCTCCCTGTCAAATTCAGAATAGAATTTAAAATATTACTCCTAACATACAAAGCTCTTAACAACCAAGCTCCATCATATATTAAACATCTTATTGTTCCATACTTTCCTAACAGAGCACTTGGCTCTCTGACTGCAGGTTTACTTGTGGTTCCTCAAGTTTCTAAAAGTAGAATGGGAGGCAGAGCTTTCAGTTATCAAGCTCCTCTCTTGTGGAACCAACTTCCAGTTTCTGTCCATGAAGCAGACACTCTGTCTACTTTTAAGATTAGACTGAAGACTTTCCTTTTTGATAAATCATACTGTATAGTTAGACTTAGGTTTCCTGAATTATTCTTCATTTCTGCTGCTATAGACTTAGACTGCTGGAGCACAAACTGAGCACATTTCCTCACTCTGCTGTTGTCCTTAGTCTCTCTTCTCTACACGTTTATTGTAATTATTTCTATAAATAACATGTTTTTTTTGTCTATTTTCCAGAAGAAGGTGCACCTGGACCAGTCCTGGACCAGTTCTTCTATGTTTGCCTGTGTCTCTTTCCTGTCCCTCAACCAGCCGGTCGAGGCAGATGGCCGCCTGTCCCGAGCCTGGTTCTGCTGGAGGTTTCTTCCTGATTAGCAGGGAGTTTTTCCTCTCCACCRTTTGCTCAGGATGGGAGACTGTGATGAAGTGATTCAACACAGCCTGCTGGCTTCTTCTTTAGATTGTTCTTTTTTAATGTACAGAGACGACGTATGTTGTGACTTAGCACTATATAAATAAACTGAATTGAATTGAATTGAACCTGATACAGCTTTCTTTTACTAACCAGACAGCAAGACCTGAACTGAGCAAATTCATTTAAAAGCCAGAGTTTACAGTTTGTTTGAAGGCAAAGGGTGAGTTCTGAYATACCTGGGTTTTGTGCGGGCCAGGATGGCGCGGTAGAGTAGGCTGAAGGGCTGAGACTGGGTCCGACCCACAGACAGAATAATGGGATGCAGGGCAACCAGGACATAGCCCTGTGTGTAGTAAGGTTGCAGGGCCTGGGGGAGCTCAGACAGAGAGGACACATACTGGACCGTGGGACGGCTCCCTGCATAAACACAGAAGTGATATTCTTACATCTCTAAAAGACRCAAACACAAACAAAGATCTCTGGTCAATCATCCTCAGTAAACTTAAAATCTGAACATGGTTTGGACACTAAATTTATTTCTAATTTACAACAGAATGATGTGCATATGGGTGTGTAGATAGTGTGTATTAGGGGTGAGGAAGGGATGACAGGGAGCTTTTCATACTTCAACCCCCACCTTCTCGCCAACAAACACTCAGAGATCTGGGAGTCCAGCAGAGTCTAAACGGGTCRTTTTACTGTGTTCTAGTTATTTATGAATTAAGAACCACAGTGGAACAAGTAAAGCTGGAGCTGAGTAAACATTGCTGCATTTTACTGGCATTTCTGTGGCCTTTAATGCCACTATAAAGGCTGGAGAGGAATTTAAAATCAACGTGATGTGTGGAAAAGCATGAAGCTTTTTGAGTGCTGCAAACATGTAGAGTAGAAGAACCAAAAACCCTGAGAGGGAAAAGGCTTCATAAAACATAAGATTTTACCATTAAACAATTCATATGGATCAAATGCTTACCATTATTTAAAGGCCTAACATTTGTTGAAGAAAAGTGTTCTGACTGCTGCTTTTCATGCCAGAGTTTTAGACTAAGATCTAGGGCTGCACAATATATCGTTTGAGCATTGTCATGGTGATGTACATGTGCACAATAGTCACATCCCAGGTCCTGCGATGGAGGAGGAAAATTAAATCAATGTCAATCTATAGGCTGTCTCAAACGGTCTCTTGGAACAGTCGGCTCCACGATGCATTTCCCATAAAGACAGGACCCAGTGGCCCTGGACTGGACATGGTCTAGAGCGAGCATGCACTTCCTAAGGGATTTACCAACACTGCAGAGCCATCGGGCGGCAGGTGGGACCCTCTGAGTAAATACTTCCCAACCTAGCCCAAGCTAAATTTGTTCTACTCTTGAACTCATCCATCCATACATTTATTATCTATACCTGCTTCCTTCTTTCAGGGTCACGGGGGGGTCACTGGTGCCCATATCCAGCAATCACAGTGCAAGGGGCGGGGTACACCCTGGATGGGTTGCAAATCCATCACAGTCTCTTGAACCCCTTTGGAGTAAATTCACAAGCCTAACCTCTATGTTACTGTAAGTTATCGATCTGAACTTTTAACTCATTTCCAAAGCTGCATACATTAAATAAAAGGCAACTTGATTGGCCACGCAGCTGTGGTGTCAAAATGAAGCTMAGAGCTGATTGGCCGATTCTAATCAATCATTTGTTCCACATTTTGTGCTCTGGAGAGTCTATAGATAAACCCAGTTGGTCAAGAGAGGTGTCAATCAAAACACCAGTCTAATTGTTTGAACAGTCTATTACCCAAATTAGARGTCCCTGGTAGTGTGGGTCAGGCTATAAAGCGACAGGAAGTAACCACAAACTGGAAATTTACTCCAGGAAGTACATGGGTCAAGGGGTTAACTACTCAAGCCAGAAGCTGGCTGTTATGCGTGACAGCAACATAAATAGCTTTGAGATTTTGGCCAAGGCCATCAAAAAATACATCTATCTCTATGACTCTTTCAAATGTATAAAAATAGCCAAACGATCAAAAACTCCTGGATGGAGTTAGTGCGGACATTGTGCACAGAGAAGTCAAAAAGTGTGATGCTCTATTTGTGACAGATTTGTGGCCAAACGGCAGATGTAAGGACTAAAYGGAGACCCTAGTGGGATGAAACCTGTGTCATGCAGCAGCAGGGAGGGATGTGATTCATGGACTACGAATGGTGTCTTATAACCAACTGACCACAAGCCAACATCTTCACTTTGGATAGACATGTTTGAGTGYTTATGTGTTAATAACTCTCATGTACTACTACACCAAAGCTTAGCTCAATATCTGTTAAATTTGATGTTATAGCCATGCTTAAGTTTGTTAAAATCACTTTGCTTTGGTGGCCATCTTGACTTCAAAAGTTAATCAGTTCTAGATGTCATCTCAATGAAAATTTTGTAAAAAATTCATTAAACACATTCAGTGATTCAGGAGATATTTTTCCTAATGGCATAGACAATGCCTTGTTAACTGCCTTTGTGCAACATTAGCAACATCACAGAATACCACAACCTAACATCCTAATCACCTCGGTGGATAATTATGACGCGCCAAAGCACCTCTGAACAAGGTTTTTGTTCCAGCCTTTTGCTCTCCTCCCCCGTTTTCAGTCCTCAAACCCCTCCCAGCTGCCACTCGGCCCATCGACCAACACTGAGGCCACTGTTTTGAGTTGGGAGAAAAACAAGGAGGGGAGGAAGTAGGGAGGACTAAACAGGGTAAAATAAACAGTTTAAGAGGAGCTGAGAAACAGGAGGGCACAGAAGAGGGGTGACAGAGCAGAGAGGAGATGTGAAGGAGTGGGGAGGTTTTTGAGTCAACCAGCTTTAAAGGATGTAGTTTGAGAATGTGTGAACGTGTGAAAGAGAAAGCTGACAAGAGGCAAAGAACATGCAACACAACCAACAAAAAAAGATCATCTTCAAGGATAAGTGATTGGCTCAGACACTGTTAATAACTGAAACCTTGTCAGCTTGGCAAATTTTGGCGTTAGTATACGTAGTTCTATTTTCATCAGCTTAGGGACTGGTCTAAATGTGGTCGTATCCTCCTACCTGTTGCTGATGCAGTAGCAGCATCCATTTTAGGCTGAATTAGAATAATGGCAATTCCTTTGTTTTAAATTGTAATGTTCTTGTTTACTTTAAGCAGTTGCAACAGCTATGGAATTGGTGTGGCACGCATCTTCTAATTTTTGGAGGTTTATTTGGATTCCTTTAAGGTTACTTTATTTTGGTGGCCTAGTTTTTTTTTTGGCATAGTTAGTCCAGGAACAGTAGGACAGTAATAAAATTAGGTAAGGTTAGGTTTAGGCCCGCAGGTTAACAAGTTAAACAAAATGATTGCTGTTCAGGTGCTTGTGTGTAAGCACATGCACGTGAACTTCTGACCAACACTGATTCAAACCAGTTTATGCGTTAAAGAGGAGCARACATTTCTACTGCAAGAACCAAATGATGAAATTCTCGTCACGCAACTGGGGTTGCCACCTGTCCCTTAAAATACAGAWTYGTCCTTTATTTGGCCAATAAATGCTGCATCCCATTTTGAACCAGTACGGCACTCGATTTGTTCCGTATTTTCATAATGTCCAATAAACATGTCTAGGGCTGCAACTAATATTTTAATAATCGATTAATCAATTAGTTTTTTCAATTAATCGATTAATTGGCCAAATCATTAAATGCTTAATTACATGAATATGAGTAGATATAAATTATTTTCATTCCTGTATAAATTAGGGATGCAATTTATTGATTAATTAATTAATCTGAAGTTGATTTATCTTATATACAGTATTGACTAACAATTAATTGATAAGCAGCCATTTTCTTAAAAATCTGAGTTTTCTCTTGAATCAAGAGGGTCTTTTCATAAAATGAAGGATTTCTTTTATAATCTCCTGAATTAAAAACAGAAACACATCATAAATATTTTAACTATTTATTTTCCCAGTTGTATTAAATACTGACTGAAAAAAAAAAGTGTATTTCTCCTACATGAAACATAAAAGAAAATTAATAGGTTGATGAATGAGGAAAATAGATTAAAATAATATGATTTTTAGATGTAAAACTATTATTAATCTATTATAATTAGAATTTATTTACATTTAACATTCATAATTTTTCTCTAATTCTTTACTTTTTRCTTTTTTGTTTTTGGTTCTGTCTGACTAAAACATTGTTTGACCCAGTAAACTGTTCTGAAGCAGCCCCCCCTCCCCTCTCCTCTACTGAGTCAGACCAGGAGTGTTGTCTTTTATTTATTTCTTTTTCCTTCGTCTTGAACCTTTTTGCTGCTCAACAAATAACTTTGAGCCTTCCTCAGAAAAAACTGGAGGGTTTTTATACTTTTGGCCCGAGAGGATGAAACAAACTGTGGATTTATGTGCCCCCCCTCCTCCCCAGCACTTCCTCCTCGTGACGTGGCTCGCATCATATCAGACAGTCTTTTAAAAAATTTAATGTGGCGTATACTTTTTATCATATCTTCGGATCTACTTGGCAACACGATTTAAAAACTGGTTTAAAGTTCGAAGTCTCCACTTTTCACTCGAGGATTCAGAGAGGGCGGATCTTTACAGGTAGAGTTTTTTTCTTCCTAAACTTTATTTAGGTCAGCCAGCATTGACAACGCTTTGCGGGTGACGTAAACGGCTCCGCAACATGGCGGGAGACGCATAAATCGTGCGACACAACGAATCGATAATGAAATTSGTTGCCAACGCTTTTAATAATCGATTTTATCGATTCGTTGTTGCGGCCCTAGTGCAGAGACAACTGAGCAGGAAGAGTTTGAAATAAAACAAAGAAATTATAGCATTTTAAAACGTGTAAAGAGAATAAATCCTCAAAATTTCCTCCTCCCGCTGTAGAAAAGTTACGTCGGGATCATTTCCTTCCTCCCTCCCTCCAYGTCGTGCAGAGCAAAGCTTTAATAACAACTGTTTTTTCCACACCCAAGTTGTCRGAGAAAAAACTTGTTTTTATATATTGTTACCCACCACAGAGATGATAAAAAAAAGACGTGGATGTTCATTCAGTCATAAATCCATCTTGCTAATGTAAAGTCGGCTTCTGCTCTGATGAAGAAGATGAGCATGCAGCAACGAAGATGAGCGCGCAGCAGAGCAGCTAAGTTCAGCAGGCAGCTCCTTGTATGGCAGGCAGATATTAAAGTGAAAATGCTGGGTTTGATTAAGATTTGTTTTCTGCAAAAAAAGCTCTAAAAATTACATTATCTTTACTTTTTATGATAGTTTTCTACCGCCATATATACCGTTACTGTGAAGGGATTCAGTTTATACCGTGATATGAATTTGAGGTCATACCGCCCAGCCCTGGTTCAACCAAAAGAAATGGAAAAACAGTAAGTAGTGTTCAGA